TAATTTATCCCTGACATATAATTAACTTTTTACAAGAAAGAAAAAGTCAGAATTACTTATAAACAATAAATCACTATAAATCTTTTACCTTCTATTTAAAAAATATATTTTAAAATAAAAATAAATTTATAGCACCTCTGTAAAAGGGATTAAATATTATTAATAATACTTATAGTACTCTTTAAACACGTTAAACATATTTTGAACTTCTTTTCTACTCATCAATTCGAAGATTTCAGTCGGATTGAGCCAATACGAACCTTTTTAGGAAAAAGTGGGAGTATTTTTCGCAATCACAAACGAAAAAGAATTATCCTTTTTATATAACAGCATAGAAAAGGGATAATTCAATGTCATCTTGACAGAACATTGACCGATAACCGTTAAAGTTTTACAAACCTGGGGAGAAGTTGATTTCGCAGAAGTTCCACGTCGTCCTCGGGAAAATTCTCGTTCAGAGAAGAGAGGTAAAAATACGCAGAGGTAGAACCGTGGATTTTCAGAAAGGAAAATTCCAGAATTCGAAAATGCCAAAAAGACATTGTTCAAATATTTTTTTCAAATCACAAATAAGGGAAACGATTTACAGTGAAGTAATTACGGCTTTTTTTCTTGTTAACGTAAATTACTTTTCATGAAAAAATAAATTAAACTATTATTTATCGGCAGGTAAGAATAAAATATTATTAATAAAAATCATCCCATCTGAAGAGAAAAAAAAAATTAGATGGAAAAAATAACGAATATTTTTATTATTATTATTATTATATTATATTGGATTATTATTATTATATTGGATTATGAATAAATAGATTAGTTCAACAAATATCCGTAAGAACAAAATCTTTAAAAACTGGTTGCTTCATATTTTTCGCAATTTTACCAAATTATAGTTATCAGTGGTGCCTTAATAACAATATTTATGCACTAAATAATGTCAGTATCTCATTTTACAATTTTTTAATATTTATTTAATAATTTTAAATCATGTCACTTAAAAATTATTACCTTTAGATAATATTTGACACACGTACAAAACAGCATACGATATTGCTGCTTATTTTATTTTATTTTATTTATTTTTTTTTGCAGAACGTAAAATACTTCACTAACGTTTAATTACTTAATATATTAAATATTAATATTTAATAAGAAAATATAATATTTAATAATGCCGAAATATATGTGATCAATGATTGAACAATTTCGTCTAAAAAACATTCGTAGTTTCCGATAATTTCTTCGACTTATTCCGCCGAATACATATCTTCAGTTCATTTACGTAACATATCAAAAAAATTAAATCGCGAAGTACCTTGGTAAATTTCGTCGCTGTGAAATCAAAAGATTATATCAAAAGTCTAGACACATAAAAAATGAACTTTATGAATATATTTTTTTTTTCGGGGGTTAGGAGAATCAGAATTTATTCACAAATAAGAAAAAATATTAATTCGTGAACAACATCGGAATATTTTTTACTAATAATATAATATAGTTTAATAAATAATATCTCGACTAAAAATGTATAAAAAATTATCAAAGGCCGACATATGTTATTTTCAGGAAGCGGAGAAAAAGTCAATTTTTGTTTAATAGGTTCAACTCAAACTTTTTCTTATGATTTTATTTAAGAATGTTCAAGTTGAAACATGAAAAATCATGATTGTGGTTCGATTACAGAAAATTGGCTTTTTTCAACTTTTTAAAAATTACAGATATCCATCTTTAAGCCGCCATATTAAGCCGCTCAAATGTTTAAATATCATGTAGGGGAATATTATATATATATATATATATATATATATATATATATATATATATATATATATATATATATATAGGTACATGTAGATTTTATTTCTTTTTAATGATGATATTGAGTAACATTAAAAAAAATAAATCTATATTATTAGATACTAGTTTTTCTTAGTCTGTTCTGAGCTAACAGATGTACCATATTGAAAAAAAAAATTGTACTTTCTAGCTGGATCATCAATACCTAGAAGAGACTATATATTTAATTAATATTTTCACTATATTATGAGGAGGTTATGGTTATGAAGTTTTGATATTAATCAAATGCTTTTGCGGCAATGTTTCAACGCATTCCTCTAGATGCTTGGAAGGGAATGTGTTAAGCATTCCATACATTTTCCGTTCAACTACTCAACTCCTGCATACATTCTCCGCGTGTCTCTTTAATATAATGAATTTACGCTTTATTAACATAGAAGATGTTATGAGCGATCAATAATTCTCCAAATGCTAGTAGTAAAATTTTGAAAAAATATATATATATATATAAAAAAAGCTAACATGCCCATTAATACATATTTCTTCATAAACGCACAGAATGAAAGTATATATAAATATTTATATATACATATTAAAACATTTTGTGGATCATTTTTTATTATTATTATTTCTTATGATGTTGGTATATTTTTCATTCAGAATTTAGGTTCACGAATATATATATATATATATATATATATATGTAAAGAAGGTTCATTTTCTAACGAATCCCTACCTTTGGGTTAGTTATTTAATTCATGCATTAAACATATGATGTTGGATGGGGATAACCGTGAGGTGCGGTTCGATATTAATATAAATCTTTCCCGTTATCCTCATTAATATATATATATATATATATATATATATATATATATATATATATATATATATATAATATTTAATAATGCCGAAATTTATGTGATCAATGTTTGAACAATTTCGTTTAAAACAACATTTATAATATCCGATAATTTCTTCGACTTATTCCGCCGAATACATATCTTCGGTTCATTTACGTAACATTTCAAAAAATTAAATCGCGAAGTACTTTAGTGAATTTCGTCACTGTGAAATCAAAAGATTGTACCAAAAGTCTAGCCACATAATATATATTTTTTTCAGGGGGTTAGGAGAACCAGAATTAATTCACAAATATGAAAAAAATATTAATTCGTGAACAATATCGGAATATTTTTTACTAATGAAATAGTATTGTTTAATAAATAATATCCCGACTAAACATTTATAAAAAATTATCAAAGGCCGACATATGTTATTTTCAGAAAGCGGAGAAAAAGTAAATTTTTGTTTAATAGGTTCAACTCAAACTTTTTCTGATGATTTTATCAGAATTGATTTTTGATGATTTTTCTGATGATATTAAGAAATTATTAATATATATATATATATATACATATATATATATATATATATATTAATGAGGATAACGGGAAAGACTTATATATAAATATAGGTAGTTATATACACCTTAATAGTCTCATTTAATAAAATAATTTATTATGAAATGTTACAAATTTTCACCACTTCAGGTTTCTTCAGGGACACAATCTGGTTTTAAAATCAAATTATATCTCTGAAAATGCCTGAAGAGGCGAAAATTTGGATCATTTCATAATAAATCATTTTATTGATTGAGACTACTAAAGCCTATATTGCTAGATATATTTATATACACTTACATTCATACTGTATATTTAAGAATAAAAAATGTATAAAAGCAAATGCTATATATAAATATATATATATATATATATATATAATATATATATATATATATATATATATATATATATATATATATATATATTAATACTTTAATAATATACATATATTAAACGACTTCGTGGATAATTTTTATAATGTAAAAAAATATTGTAAATTAAATTTAATCTATATTCCTAACTAAAAAAAAAAATCTGAATGATTTGTAAGCGTGCTGTGCAAAAAAAATATGAATTTTGGTAGTAAAATTTAATAATTTGATTTCTTTTGAATTAAATTAAGTTTTTTTAATTATAATTTGATTTTCTGATTCGATAAAACCATATTACTCTCAGGAGAAGTATAAAACAAATTATACTCCCTTCGGCGTCCAGATGGTTTCTTACCAAATACCTTTTTCCGGCTTCTAGGCTGAAACAAATATGTTTATAAAAATAAAATGTGATAAATATAAATAAATAACATGTGAGTGTAAGATTCGTGATCGGCGTGAAACAGTCGAAATGCTCACACGTACCGCAACGCCTCCACGACTGATATCTCTCAAATCGCGTGTGAGATAGATTCAAGGAAAATGCAAGAAAAAAACATAACATTTCAAGAACTATAATAATAACTACATTTCCGTATATCTTCATATCCATACTAATATGAAAATGTCGTTCGTAAGGACTGCATATGGTTAGAATAATTCTAGCATATGTTCTTCGTACTTTTCAACATTTTTTTTAGCAAAATAGTCCACAATCGCCGATGCTACAGCTCAGAACGAAATTGGAGCATCGCCGACTCTGGTCTGATAACTAAATGAAATATATCATGAAATATCGGAATATTTCCCCAAACGTATGACACGACCTCAGAAAAAAAAATTGGTTCAAACGATTGGGAAAATTACAAACAAAAAAATATATCTTTTAGTTCAAATATGTAGCATATTCATATGTAGTATATTTAAAATTAATTGTCATATTAATGTAATTTTGTTACCTTTTCCATGAATCTTTACAAAATATATTTGAAGAACCTGAAAAAAGTAGAAAAATACATGTGTCTACATTACATATATATATATATATATATATATATATTATTTACATGATTGTATCTGTTCGAGCGCCTCTTACGTTGTTGTATCTCGCTAAGCACCTGTAATAAGTTAAAAGCTATGTATATGCTAAATAATGCGACTTTATTAAACTCTCACATCAAGATTATAATAACACTTAACATAATGACAAGGTAAAATACAAGCGGAGTAGAAAGAAAGGGAAAGTCCAGAGGACGTTAGGTGCACATGTATTGCCAGCTTATAAAATATGGACATAAAAATTTATATAATGATGACAATATTTAAAAAAATGTATTTATTTATAAATGACACTAGCGGCGGAACGCTTGAGAGAGTTTTCCCAAGCGTTTGCCCCTTTTGTCATGATAGTAATTTATATACTCACTGGGCCGTAGTTGTGAAAGCCGGTTCTGAGGGCAAGCTTGTCGGCCTCTTGAGGCCCGGGGTCACCCCTGAGCCTCACGTAGAAGGAGTTTGTGAAGACTTCGGCGGCTCCCAACTCGGAAGCGAGCAGAAGCGATAGCAGTAATGCTCCGGCCATCGCCCTCCCGCATCTGAGCTCTTTCCTCCGCTGCCACATCGATCTAACTCCTCTAGAGCGCAAGCCCCGACCGCGCGCCTCCGAACCCGAATTCGGCCTTCGTACAAACTCGGCAATAGTCCGAGATACCGCTGGATATACCCCCACCCCCTCAAATTGGCTTTTTCTTTTACTAGCGATATCCGATACCGTTATAGATGGAAAAAAAAAACAACGCTACAATGTTTGTCAGTAGAACTCTGATCTGAAAATCTAAATTTTTTGAGGAATAGATCGTAGAAAGATTCGATTTTCAGATCTTAAATCATTTACTTATGGTAAAACTGAGTAGCAATATGAACCATAATGTTCCAAAAGTCTGCGTTAATTGATTCCATTCATCAATTCAATCCAACAGCGACGGCCAGCAATGTATGCTCAGTTCAGTGACGACCTGATAGGATCAAGCTAAATGCTGAAGATAAATCTCTAAGAATATAAAAACATATATATAAAGTAATACCTACCAACTGAATTGTTGAATTTCAAAACAGATAGAAATAGAGCGAGTTAGTATCTAATACAATAAATCTAGTAATAAATCTATTACTCACTATCTGTATAAATCTCTTATATTTATGAACTTTGTTCTCTTAGACAGAAAAAAAAGTAAAATCTGAGTCCTATTGATACTAATAAATCTGGGTCCTATTGACAGTATTTTCGCCATAATGTTCCAAAAGCCAGCGTTAATTGATTCCATTCATCAATTCAATCCAACAGTGACGGCCAGCAATTTATTCTCCGTTTAAGGACGACCTGATGGGATCCAGCTAAAGGCTTAAGCTAAATCCCTAAGTAAATAAAAATATGTATAAAGGAATACCTACCAACTGAATTGTTGAATTTCAAAACAGATAGAATTAGGGCAAGTTACTAAACTCAGCGCTGAACCATCAATGATTCTAGTATTGCCCAAAATCGGTCTTGGTTCTCACTTTGCAAGAACAAGACCAAGGCCGCCTAACTGTTGCAGGACCAATACCAGGACTGGTAAAAAAAAATCCATTTTTTTAATAAAAATTAAGGTAAAATAGTTACTAATATTCGATAATTTTAGTTACTATATGTTAATAATAGGTCATAAGCATTATACTTTTGCATTTAGCTCTTCTAATTTTTCATTCCGGCTTAGTTAGGTTTCACCTATCTAAAAAATTACAATAATATCTCTATAGTAATAAACTAATAAGTAACTGCAAGACTTGCGCAAGACCAAGACCATGACCAACACTGTGTGTGCAAGACCAAGACTCGTTTCGGTCTCGCATTTGTGCAATACTAAATAATTCAATGTATTAATAATAAAAATGAATTTGTAAATTTGTGAATGAAGACTGTAAAACAATAAATTAGTAAATGTTAAATAATATGTTATATGTTAAAATAAAATGTTAACTAACACAAACTCAAAATGCAGATCTTCAAGGATGTGGATGAGAAAATAAAGAAAATAACAAATGACATTTTTATACACAAAGTGTAATAAGCTGAATTTTTTTACTAGATATTGTCAATCAGATTGATTAGTCGGCAGTGTTCGCTATACAGATTTTTTTAGTGCCAAAAAAAATAACATCTGCTTTAGTGCAAAAAAGATCTTATATCATTTTGTATTTTAAATCTATTACTCACTATCTGTATAAATATCTTATATTTATGAACTTTGTTCTCTTAGACCAAAAAGTTAAATCTGAGTCCTATTGACAGTAATTTCGCCATAATGTTCGAAAAGCCAGCGTTAGTTGATCTTATTCATCAATTCAATCCAACAGCGACGGCCAGCAATTTATGCTCAGTTTAGAGACGACCTGAAGGGATCCAGCTAAAGGTTGAAGCTAAATCCCTAATAAAATAAAAAAATGTATAAAGTAATACCTACCAACTGAATTGTTGAATTTCAAAACAGTAGAAATGGTACAAGTTACTGAACCCAGCGCTGATCCATCAATCATTCAATGGATGTATAAATGCATTTGTGAATTTGTGAATGAAGACTGTAAAACAATAAATTAGTAAATGTTAAATAATATGTTATATGTTAAAATAAAATGTTATAAAATATGTTAAATATTTTAAATTATGTTAAAATATGTTAAACAAACTCAAAATGCATTTCTTCAAGGATGTGGATGAGAAAATAACAAATGACATTTTTATATACAAAGTGTATTAAGCTGAATTTTTTTATTAGATATTGTCAATCAGATTGATTAGTCTGCAGTGTCAGTCAGCAACTCAACACAGTTGAGCATCAATATTTTATTGTAATTCTCTCTAGATACTGAATTCAGCGTAAAAGCATACACAATAATTCGAAAATAAATTCAATTGAATCAAGCTCCAAATGATTTTTTTTTTTTGTGAGAAATTGCCAAACAGATTTTTTTTAGTGCAAAAAAACATATCTTTTAGTGCAAAAAAGATCCCATAGTATTTGTATTTTAAATCTACTACTCACTGTCTGTATAAATCTCTTAGATTTATATTTATATTTATAAACTTTGTTCTCTTAGACAGAAAAAAAAAGTTAAATCTGAGTCCTATTGACAGTATTTCCACTCGAAATTATCTAACGCTATATGCCAAACCCCACATAGTAATTCAACTATCGAATGAGACCCCTAGAAGCAAAGTTGTAAAAGTGACGAAAACTAAGTTCTGAGTGAACTATGGTTACAGTTAATCATCTCCTGTAATTACAATAATTTTCTTTGCCCTTTTACACGGTTAAACTTCTCGACTAGTTTCTTGGATGAACTCACGTTGGTCAAGAATCTTCACCGTGCAAAAGGTTTGGTTATACAGAGGGACCAAATTGATACATCACGTCGGGTATTTTTGACCAAACTACAGCATCGCTTCTTGTGTTCAGAAAACATATCATTCATCAAAACACGCTGTATATCTCGCAATTTTTCTATAGTGCTGTTATAGACCGCGGTCAATGTTATCCTCTTTATTTAGTTATCAGATAAAACTTCGTGAATGGCTTCGCCTTATCGTAACCTACAAATTTTATATCAACAAAAAATCTTAGAAATGGAACGTTTTCTCATGATATATTAGTTTCTTACGTGATGTATTATCTTGGATGAATCGGTACAAGGTTTACAGCTGTATTACATATTTATTAATATAGCATATGAAAAGGCAATATAAAAGAAATTATTTCGCGCGTATATTACGGTATAATTATACTCTTTGAATGATGATATTTTTTAAAAAACAGAGGATATAATGGCCAGGGATATATAAGAGATTAAAGGTTGGTTCTTAGAAGTATTCGTTAAATTTTAACACAAGACAAACATGGAGTATCAAATCCCAGCTCGTATTCCCAAGTACGGCCTCTCGCCAAGTTGAGCCAATATTCCCTTAATTAGGGGAAGCTCACAGGTCGAAAAAAGGTTTAAAAAAAAATTCCTCCTCCCCCCTCGGAAAAAAAACAAGTAATTGTAAGGATGAAAATTGAACCCAACCCTCATTAAAACGACTGCGAAAAAGTCTCTAAGAGATAAATTAAATCCAAATCTTGTTAAGTTATGTCAACCCGTTTCCAAAAGTTTAATTTTACCGAACCCTGTAAAAAAGGAGGGTGATGGTTTTTCTCTTGGTCGCAAACAATTATTCTAACGAATTAAATACTGAATGAAGAACAATTAGCTAACTTTATTATGCTAAGGTAAAAAATAACTAAATCAAGTAATGACGTAAATATTACTTGCTTTTATCAGGAAAATACAATAATTAATATATTGTTTCATAATGCCTAATAACTAATGAAACCTTTAAAAATTATATCATGGACTATTATATAGTCGACGATATAAATAACTAATTTAGGAACGATCATATTTATCGAACCAATAATTATAAAATGTTTGAAATATTAAAAACATTGAATAAAAAATATGTGGTTTAATACATCTTTTTTTTCAATATACAGAATTATCATAGTCTATATAAATATACTAATGTTTTTTTTTTATTTATGAAATTTACAACTGTATTAAAAAAGAATACATTAAGTAAATGTGATAACAGAAAATAAAAACATTAAAACACTTGTTGGGAAACTACACACTGGTAGCACTCTAAAAAAAAAAAAATGTATTTACAATAGATCTCGAGGCCATCTTCTTTTCAGACACCTCGGAGGGTTGTCAGGGGATCGAATAGGAAGCAAGGTTAGAAACGAGAGGGTTCGGATGGTTCTGAAGTTTTTTATGGAAGGATAGGTATCTGGATTGGGCCAATTCGGAAATATAAGGAACATTAAGGTCTTTATGGATTATTTTATTAGTGACAAAGTAAGGATCATTGAGGATTTTACGAAGGATTTTGGATTGTAAGGATTGGATGCGTGAGGAATTCGATGGCTTTGTGGACCTCCAAATCTCAACTCCGTATGTCCAGATAGGTCTTATTGTAGTAATTCAACAGGGATAAGCAGGGTATTATTAAAGGATACTGTAGGACAGGAAGTCATAGGTTTACGACGATACTAATGGCTTATTAAAGAAATGATTTGCGGACCTGAAACATGAATGAAAACATGGCAGATCTTTAGAAGTAACAATGAAAAAATATTCGTGATACTCAGTGCTAAGTATTGTAAGCCTCTTAAGTGTGTTAAAGTAGAGAAACTTATTCAAGATAAGTATCTTAAACATGAGCCTGGGGTCTGTTAAAGCTGGTGTTAATTTCGTAAATGTGCGGGTAAGGTTATTACAAGGATCTCATCTCCTGCTTACTACTTTTGTTTTAATTGGAACGGAATGTAAGGAAAGATGAGGAGGGAATCCGGAAAACTTTGGACAAAAGAGGATAATAATCTGTTTAAATATTTGTTGAAAACCTAATGAAGTTCGTGGTGAATAATGTGTTGTTTTTTCTTCAAATGTCCTTATAACTTTATGGTTGTCATACTTTATATCTTAAAGAATGTTCAAACAAAAATTAATTCTTTTAAAATTAGCATTGACAAGTTA